TATTACCTTTATTCCGGTGCTGTCATGGCTAGCTCTCCACTTTGCATTCTCCATTAAACCTGAGCTCATCCTAGCTCACACTAGGCCCCAATCACCCACCATCCTCTGTGTTCCTGGAGTTTTGGTCTAACAACACTTCAGTTTTAAACTTCTCATCCTTGTTTTCAAACTGTTCTAGGCCTTACTTCTTGCTATCTTTGTAATCTGTTCTGGCCCCAATACCCCCAGAGATCATCCAATTTTGACCTCTTGCATGTCTCTGACTTCTACTGCTCCACCATTGGTGCCTGTGCCTTCAGTTGTCTACATTGTGAACTGCAGAAAGCTCTCCTTAAACCTTCCTCCCTCTCTTCCTTCCTTTAAAATATTCGGTAAAACTTGCCACTTTGACCTGTCCTAATATCTCCTTCTGATATTTAGCGTCAAGTTGTACCTTCCTGTGAACATCCTTAGGAATATTTTGCTGTGTTAAAACACCATTTAAACACAGTTGTTGTTGCTGTTGTCACTGGGCTAAGAATACCAGATTCCAGCCACACTCTGTGAAATGGGAAAGCCAAAGGAGACCCCAACTGAATTGCTTTTTGCTGCTTCAATGTCTCCCAATGATTGTCGAACAGCAGTGTTCATCTCAACACAACTCTCTTAACTATCGACAGTGTGTATTGGATTTGGTCATGTAATTACTGGAAGTGGCTCACAGAAACTGATCCCTGGAGTCCACACAACAACAAAGATGGTATAAAATGCAGTTTATAATCCAACAATTATCAGTACAATTTGTAACGGTTTTTGGGATTTTTCTGCTGCCTTTTAAAGGTTGAGTTTCCCCTTCCCCAAGCACTGAAATAGTTGCCTCACTCTGACACTATATGGCTGAGCTCCACAATTTATATCACATTTACTCATCAGCACAAAAACACAATTAAGATTGAAAACAATTTTCATGGACAAAGTGAATCCCAGTAAGCAGCATCTATCTCAAAGTTAAGCAATGAGAACTCAATAAATCAATCTGTCAGATGACCTTTGCAAAAAAGTAGTAAAATAGACACAGAAATGGCCAACCACGTAAAGTACAATTGGCTCAAAAACTTCAGAAATTCTGAATTTACAACTTGGTTACTGAGGAGCAACAAGTCTATATGCCAGAGAAATTTAGCTCGAGAACACATCGGACTGAAACTCAAAGAAAAATTTCCATTTGTAAATTTAAATGAAAATAAAACACTGCAGATTCTGGAGATTTGAACTAAAAAGACAAAGTACTGGGAAAACTCAGCTGGTCTGGCAGCATCTGAGGAGACCGGAACAGAGTTAACATTTTGAGTGCAATAGTACGTTTGTCATGCTGCCATACCTGCTGAGTTTCACCAGCATTTTTTGTTTTTCTTCCAATTACACAGTATATGTCACGGTTTCAAGATGTCCCAAAATCATTCACAATCACCAAAGTATACTTGAAGTGCTGTCACTGTTGCAATGCAGGAAAAATGGCGGCCAACGTGGGCATAGAAAGATCTCACACCAATGCAGTAACAACCTTAAGACCATAAGAAACAGGAACAGGAGTAGGCCATTTGGCCCGTCAAATCTGCTTCGTCATTCAATAGGATCACAGCTGATCTGACATTCCTCACATCCACTATCCTACCTTTTCCCCATAACCCTGCTGATCAAGAATCTATCTACCTCAGCCGCACATATACACAATGACTTTGCCCCCAGAGCTCACTGTGGCAAGAAGTTCCAAAGACTCATAATCCTCTGGGAAATGAAATTCCTCCGCATCTCAGTCTTAAATTGGCACATATTTATTCTGAGACAATGCCCTCTGGTCCTAGACTCTCCAATGAGGGGAAACATCCTCTCACCATTTACTAAGCTAAGCCACTTAAGCCTGTTTAGCGACTTTGGCAGGTGTTGACTTAGACACCAAGGCAACTCTCCCTACTCTGCAAAACCGTGCTATGGATGGTCCATGCCAAGGGCAGTAGCTCCAACGGTGTGACACCACTGTCGATGGTGTGCTCAAGTCTCTGGAAGTGGGGCACAGACTCAAAAACTTTCTTAAGCAGAAGCAAACAGCTGATCCCATTGACTTTCTCTCTCCAACCACAAAATGGACCATTCAGCAATAACAAAACAACTGGAAATCTCAACTCCACTACCACCAACCTTGAAATACCACATTGCTGTGCTTGCACCGAGCTTTGATGACAGTGGGGACACATGGCAGTGTTGCATTTTCCAACAGCGATGAACAGCCTTTGAAAGTTTCAAAGTGCAAAGTGGCACTCTGAGAGTCCAGGGTGGGAGCAGGAAGTGGCTGCCTATACACAGGGCCATTTAAAAACAACTGTTTTCTAATCAAGAGATAGTAGGAACTGCCGATGCTGGAGAATCTGAGATAACAAGGTGTAGAGCTGGATGGACACACAGGCCAAGCTGCATGAGAGGAGCAGGAAAGCTGACGCTTCAGGTCTGGACCCTTCTTCAGAAAGGGTCCAGACCCAAAACGTCAGCTTTCCTGCTCCTCTGATGCTGCTTGGCTTGCTGTGTTTATCCAGCTCTACACCTTGTTATCTCTGTTTTCTAATCAACCTGTTCAGCAATGTTATTACACACCTCTTGAACAGGTGGGTCTTAAACCCAGGGCTCCAGCTCAGAGTAGGGACATATCACTGTGCCACAACTGCTCTTGTAAACTGACTGTTCAGAGAATGCCAATTGCAACATTCTAATGAAAGCCACAAAAGCAACAATTTGCATGAAACCAGCAGCACTTCGCAAGACCCAAGTATTCAGACATGTAAATAAAAAGGAACTCACATCATCCCAGTAACAAATAACAGTATCAATCCTAGATAGAAATCTGCAAACAAAGTGACTAGTGATCCATTTCATTCAACTCAAACTCCAGGGAATTAAAATTTCAAACCAATTATTTACCAGAGATGCTCATCTCCATTTGCATCAACTTTTTGGTTTTGTAAATGAAACTTTCTTAATGCTGGGAATGCCATACCCTCACACTCAGGGGGAGCAGGTCTGGCAGCTCGGCAATATTAGCCTCTCACTTTCAGCTTGAGTTCCAGCAGGCCCGAAATGTCAAATTTCCTGCTTCTCTGATGCTGCCTGACCTGCTGTGTTCCTCCAGCTCCACACTGTGTTGACTCTGACTCCAGCATCTGCAGTTCTTACTATCTCCCATCAACTCTGTCCCACTCCGCCACAACATCTTCCTTGCCTGTTTTACTCGCCCACTGCCCAGCGGCTCTGCCCTCCTGCCCCTAACCAGTCCAGCTGTGCAGGATGGCAGGGCCCAGAGGCCAGGAAAGTAGCTTGGTCCCATTGTTGGGAAGGATGGACAGGAGAGGGGGAAAGAGGGTTGGGGGGCAGGATGGAGAGGGGGGGAAACGGGGGTGTGAGGATGGAAGGGAGGGGGGAAGAGGGGTGTGGGGGGGATGGAAAGAGGAGTTTGCGGGGGTGGATGGAGAGGGGGCAGAGAAGAGTGTGGGGATTGAGGATGGAGAGGGGGAGGAGGGTTGGTGACAGAGAAAGATGGGGAGGGGTAAAGAGGGGTGGAGGTGGCAGGAAAGAGGAGAAATAGTGGGATGGAAGAGAGACAAAGGGTTAGGAAGAGGGAGAGGTTGTGAGGGTGCCGAGGAGTGACAGGAGAGGGAGGGGTAAAGTGGAAAGTGAGGGGAATAAAGTGGAGGGGTAGTAAGAGAGAGAATAGAAAGAGTGAGGGAGAAGAAGAGGTGGAGGAAGAGAGGTGGGAGGAGGGAGGGGAGCAATGCAGGACCAGAGGGATGGTATGAGGAGTGAGGCAGAGTATATGGAGCAAGGAAGGAGGGAGTAGTGCGAGAGAGATGAGGGTGAGGGTGAAATGGGTGGGGGGGCAGATGGCAATGGGGATGTGAGGGAGGAAGGGAAGGGAAAGAGGGGCAAGATTGCTGGAGGCTGCAAAATGGAGTGGGGAGAGAGGAAAAGGAGGCAGGTTGGTGAGGAAATTGGAGCGAGAGCCGGGTGAGGGCAGGGTTCTGAGGGCTGAGCAAGGAAGAAAGTGAAGAAAATGGAAAAGGAGGCGAGGGGGTCGTTGGAGAGAAGAAAGAATGGGGAGAGGGGAATGGGGCCCAAAGGTACCAGAATGGAAGCTTAACTTTTTTTTTGTTTACAGTGACTCAGAACCCAGTGAAAATGATGAGAAAGCTCCCAGCAGAAGGAAAGGTGTTTGGGATCCGTTATAAATGGGGGCTATCCAACTGATAATGTACTTTACAAATGTCCTTTGCCCAGACATCCCCCGGTCCCTCATCAGCGAAAAAAACCTAACCCTGTTCGTGTCGGTTTTCCCTGGGATTTGGGTGACCTGTGAAGTACCAGGAGCCTGCTCCTCCTCGGCCATGTCCCAACAACCACAACAACAACAACAACAAAAAGCCTTCATCAGAACATCCTCGCACTCCCGACAGTTTCAAATCCCTTTGGAAACTTTATTTCAAACGAAGAAAAAAAAAGTTGTGAAAGCTTCCTGCAAACTTCCCCTTCACATCGCTGCACTGAAAACGGCGATCCAAGTCAGTGTTAGCCACCTCAACAGGATACCTAGACAAGCACTGCATCGGGATGAAGGTGGGGTGTACATAGAGCAATATTGGGGAGGTGGGGAAGAGATATAATAAATTCATTTGAACGAGGAAATCTCCTCCCACCCCAAAACAAAAAAAAATTCCAAAGCATTCCAGTGAAATCTGCACTGCAGGAGTTTAAACCTTCTGGTATTTCGCGTGTGCTCCCCAGTGTATTAAAGTTGGTGGGAGCACTCAGGGAGTGGGGTAACTATTGAGGGTGAGAAGGGGTTGGGTGTATGAGAAAACTCCCGTTGTCCTGAAGCAGGCTGCTCTGGTCCGGACTTGCAGCCAAATCCCTCGCTGCTGTTACCAAGCGCTCTAAACCATTCCCTTCTCCTCCCATGTTATAAACTGTCCTCCTACCTGTCGCGGGGATCGATCCAGCTGGTCTGCTTGGTGTTGTGGTCAATGTAGAAGACTTTACCGTCGTAATCTCTCGCTTCTTCCCAACCATCCGGCAAAGGGAGCTCTCCATTGCCTTTCCTATGCATGTTGTAGTGTTGTAACACCCTCCATAAATCCGGGCAGGAGGAAGGAAGGAAGGGAGGGAGGTGGGGGGCTGCTGGAATGTTTTCTTTAATATGCCCCCCCCAAAAAAAAGAAGCCTCTCTGCGATCATTTACATCCTTATAACGATCTGGTCCTCCATCTTAACTCCATTCAGGAATCCCCCCACACACACACAACAGAAAGAGAGAGAGAGCGAGAGAGAAAACTGCTTTGGCTGTCGCCTGGATTAGCGTGTATTTCATTTGCATACAAATTCCTCCCCTTAAGATCTTATCAAATATTAATACTGCCAGCGCACAGCCGCCAAATCCAACTTCCTCCGACAAGACACATTTCAGATGTGCCAGCCCATTTGATTATGTTCAACCCTTGCCTGTTTTTTTTCTAAATCTGTGCCTGCGAGAGAACTATTTTATTTCTCTTTTGTTTTTGCTTGAGTTCTGTGCATAAAGCTGAAGGGAGGGAATGCACCTTTGTATTCCACCACCGCCCCCCCCCCCCCACCCCCAAACTGGTCTGAGGCAATCCTAAAATTGTATCGTTTTGCCGATATGTATACCCATTACTAATGGATTTCCCCCTCCCTTTACATCATCCAGCATGTAGCAGGGTGAGTTCAGAAATACAACAAGAGGCCAGAGTCGGAGGCCTCCAGACTTGTCTGACCTGGGTATTTGGCAATATGTCAGAAGGTTACAGGATCATAAGGGAGACTGGGAAAGGAGGAGTTAGCAATATTGGTAAAATTCACATTTATAGGAAAGATGAGTCAATAGCAGCATCTGTAAGAACATAAAATAAACAGTTGGGGTTCTGCTTAGTTGCTGCTGGTTATATTGCTCCCATTCTGCTGGAATTGGCTGAATCAGCCCAAATGATGGGGTAATATTATACATTGGGTGAACCAGAAAGACTGTAGAAAGTGACAGAATGGATGGATTTGGTCCATGAATCCCAAAAAGTTCAGCACACAGTAGGGAAGTCAGATGCCTTTACCTCAAAGGGGATGGAGAATAAAAAAAGGGAGGTCTTGCCAAAACTACAGAAGTTGGACCACAGTTGAAGTACTGTGAACAATTTTAGGCCCCTTCTATAAGGCATTGGAAGCAGTTCAGCAAAGGTTCACTAGGCGAATGCAAGGAGGGACTGTCTTATGACGAGAGGTTGTGTAGATTGGGCCTGTACTTGTTGGAATATATAAGAATGGGAGGTGACCTTATTGAAACATACAATATTTTTATAGGACTGGACAGAGAAGATGCAGAAAGGTTGTTTCCTCTTGTGAGAGTGTCTTGGACTAGAGGGCATAACCTCAGAATGAGGGTTCACATATTTAAGACAGAGATGAGGAAGAATTTCTTCCCTCAGAAAGTGGTGAATCTGTAGATTTATTTATCACGAAAGGCTAGTGAGGCTGGGTCATTCAGTATATTCAAGGCTGAGATAGATTTTTAGAATCAGTAAGAGAATCAAGGGTTATGGGAAAAAGACAGGAGAATAGAGTTGAGAGTTATCAGACCGTGAACATGTTGAATTGCAGAGCAGATTCGATGGGCTGAATGGCCTACTTCTGTTCCAAGGTCTTATGATTTTCTGGTCAAAACTATCTACATTCATGCTTTACGTACTTCTCCTTGATTCAAGCTTCAGTTAGCCCAAATCAAGTCCTATCCAGTTCACTGCCAGCAAATTTGCTCCAGATAGAAAAATAGCTTATAGAACAAGAGGAAAACTGTTCAGCCCATGTCATCTTCAATCAAAAACCCAAATCAACTCCACCTTAAGTCACTGACAGTTCCAGAATGCGGATCACTCCCATCTGGAAACTCTGTGAAGTATATGAGAATTTGTGCCTTTCATTAAACATTTGGAAAATTCAGGTCCTCTTTCAACCAGCCAACTTCCACATCTCAACTCCCTATATCAATTAAGATCAATGGCAAGATTGTCAAAAATGTGGACCATTTAGCACCTCTTGGAAACCTCCACTTGATGAAGTCAGACATAGATGATGAATTTCAGCATTACCTCTCCAATGTACCAGCTGAGTGATGAAGAAGTATCCCGACCCGAAACGTTAACTTCCCTGCTCCTCTGATACTGCCTGACCTGCTATGTTCTTCTAGCTCCACACTGTGTTGTCTCTGACTCCAGCATCTGCAGTATTTGCTACCTCTGAGCTTTCAGCTGACTAAGAACCAGGATCTCAAACCCGAGACGAAGGTCATTATTTGCACAGCTATCATTCCCATGCTCTAATATGCTTCACTGACTTGGGAAAACCTACAACAGAAACTTCAAACCAATGGGGACGTATCAGCGGTGCCTTCACAAAATCTTTGAAATCCAGTAACAAGGAAGGCAGTTCAACAACAGTGCTCTCTTCCAAGATAACATGCCTAGCATCAAGGTGTTAATCATTCAAAACCAGTTTCAATTAGCAGGGCACACCATTCATATGTCTGACATCATATTCCCAAACCAACTATTCTACTTGGAGCTCACTTACAGATGAAGACTGTCAGGAGATTGGCAGAATCCTTTTAGGGATGTCATCAACTTATCCCCGGAGATGCCAAACATCCCTACTGACGCGTAGCAGACCCTGTGATCAACCAAAATGAAAATTGCTCGTTTAGAAAGTGTTTTAAAATTTCAACTATGAGGAAATATTGGATAGGCTTTTTGTGGAGACTTGAAGCCAAACTTAACCAACACAGTTTCAAACACATTGTGGATGTGATTTCCCAATTACATCTAAGTGGTAACTCAACCCTGGTAAAGAATGCATGACAAGTTGTTGATTTCGACATTTGTGACGTGGTGGATGGCATGTATAAATACAGAGATCAGGGAAATATACAGAGAAACAATGTGATTATAATGACTTTAATCTTCAAATGAACAGAGAAGAGTGGAATGGATTTGTAGAACAATTACAGCACCGAAAGTGGTTTACAGGGCAGACTGTTAGATCCATTCTGGTTCCTCGGAAGAATAAATCCTCTAGTCCCAGTGCCTTGCATTTTCCACATAACCCGAAAAATGTTTGTTTCAGACAATTATCTAATTCTCTTTTGAAAGCCTTGATTTATCTATTTCCATCATATGTTCAGGCAGGGCTTTTCAGATCCCAGTTACATGCTGAGTAAAGAAGTCTCTCCTAATATCACTGTTGCTTCTTTTGCCAATCACCTTAGATTGGTATCTTCTGGTTCCCAGCCATTGCACCAATTGGAGCCGCATCTTCCGATCTACCAGGTCTCTCATGATGTTGGAAACCTCTATCAAATCTCCTCTTTATCTTCTTTACCCCAAAGGAACAACCCCAGCTTCCCAGGGTAGGTGGGGATTGATCGTGGTTGAGTGGCTGGATCAGTTCCATCAGAGCTGGGGGATTGGTGATTGGGTGGAGTAGATTGGGGTGATTTCCAGTGATTGGTAGAGATTCACAGCAATCAGGTGGAAGATTGATGTGTTATGGTAGCATTTTAGCCAAAAGAGGTCTGTATTCTTAGAATGTGGTGATGGGAGAACTAACCTATATCTATCTAAATTGAAAGGGGAGGCAATAGCTGTATGTTGTATCTAAAACACAAAGCTGAGGCATTTGCAACTAGTTTCAGCCATAAGTGCCAAGTGGATAATTCATCTGGGCTGCTTCCTGAAGTCTCCACCACCATCGACACCAGTCCTCAGGCAATTCAATTTACCTTAAGGGACATAAAGAAATGACAGAAGGCACTGGATTATAGCAAACGCATTGAGTCCTGACAACATCTTGTCTGTAGTAGTGAAGACATGATCTTCAAAACTAGCTGTACCCTTAGCCAAGCTGTTGCCATAGAGCTACAAGACTGGCCTGAACATTTTCTACTCCCAATCATCAGTAAAGTGATGGAACAGTTAAGCAGCACTTAGTCAGTAACAACATACTCACTAATGTTCAGGTTAGATTCCAGCAGTGCAACTCACCCCCAGACCACATTACAGTCTTGGTCCAAATGTAAACAATAGATGTGTTTTTTTTTGAACCATTGGATATGGGCATCACTGTCTGCCATCTGCATTGGCCAGCATTTATTGCTAATCCCTACTGGATTGCTAGGGTCATTCCAGAGGGTAGTGAAGAGTTAATCACATTGTGGGTTTGGAGTCACATGGAGGACAAACCAAGTAAGGAAAACATATTTCCTTCCCTGAACGACATTAGTGAACCACATGGATTTTTTTTTTATGATCGCCATTTGGTAGGCTCTTAATTCCAGACTTTTGTTCAATCAAACTTTGCCATTTACTATTGTGGGATTTGAATTTATGTCTCCAGGGTATTAGACTGGGTTACTGAATTTCTAGGCTAGTGACAATACCATAACACCAGCACCTCCCCATTTAAGAAATAAGATAAGTATGACACCTCTTGAAGGCAGGTTTTGATCAAGTGGAGGATCTGGGATACGGAGAAAAATTTGTGGCAATTCTCCATGGAGCTAAATTAAGCAGAAAGGAAAATTGTTGGAAGCTATTTATTTCAGCTGCAGAATGTTGCTGTGGGAATTCTGGGCACTGAGGCCTCATGACTGATATTTATTCCGCTACTTCATCAATGAGCTTCCCTACTTCATTGGGTCTGTTGTGGGAGTGTCCATTGATAATTGCACGTTCTTGACCTCATTACAGCCTTGGGTCAAACATGGACTAAAGACCTGAACTGAACAGGGAAATTGATAGTGACTGCTCTTGACGTCAAAAGCAGCATTTGACAAAGTCTCATGTCAAGGAGTCTGGAGTGAGTGGGAATCTGCAGGAAACTCTCCTCTGTTTGATGTCATAACTCGCTCAAAGCAAGATGGTTGGGGTTCTTGGAAGTCAGTCATCTCAGCCACAGGATATGTTTCAGGAATTCCTCAGGATAGTGTCTTCATCCCAGTCATTTTCAGCTGCTTCATCAATGCATTTCCCTCTGACATAATAGCAGATGTCAGTTGACGATTACAATTTTCAATACCACTTGCAGCTCCTCCGGTACTGAAGCAGTCCATGTCCAAATGCAACAAGTCCTGGACAATATTCAGACTTGAATTGGTAACTGGCAAATAACATTCACCACAAACGTGCCAAGCAAAAACTATCTCCAACGATGTGTGATGAATGTTCATGATATATTTATTATTATTTGGAAACTTGGGATCTAAAATGGATAAAACCA